AGATATCCTTAACAGCTAAAATCACCGTAGACAATGAGGCACATCATCTTTGAAAATATGAATATTACAGTATGTTATTGTCTTCCACTGTTAGGGAGCAGGCATCCGTATCTTTATTAAATGTAGTATTGTTGTGTCTTTTTTGCCATGGCTTTGCTTAATTCCGAGCAAAAAAGCTGTCGTGAGTCGAGGAGTTGATAAATTCAATACAATATGTAGTTATTAAGGTTGACATAACGTTATTGAGGTTGACATTCCATAAAGTTGAAACTTAAAACTGCTCGCAGCACTCGATTATCGCTTGATTGCTGGTTGAGTACTGGTTCTTACAGGTATTGACATGAAGGTCTCCGATATTATGATTGCGGGAGTCCGGTCCCCTCCCTCTTCAAGTCAGAATCCAATATTGTTCCCACTTCTAATCGACATATTGAAACTTGAAACTTCACGACGCTCGCTTATTGCTATAACGACGTTAAATCTCGTTAATTAATTTTTTGTTATCTGGTATACGAAATTGTTTCTACGTCACGGTTAGATGGCAATACGTTACTTTTTTTGTTCATAAAACTCAATACTGTCCTTTGATCACTCTATCTTCTGACTGGGGGGGGGGGGGGGGTCCAACCCGATTTTTCCGATCATTCCGATCCCGATTTTGGCCTCATCAACCCTCATATCGGAAAAATCGGGAAAATTTGAATCTTTCCTCTGAGGTTTCTAGGCGATATAGGTAGCTATTTCTGTACTTAAATATGACAAGAAATCGATTGGTGGTGGTCCCAGAACCCCAAAATGGTTTCTAGTTCCAAACAAGAATCGTTTCGTCCGAAAAACAACACACTGTCGTATCAACTCTTGTTTGACAGAAACATCCACCCCGGTCCACAATTGAAAGAGGTACGGTTGGTAATAACAATCGTAACAAATAGGGAACGCTTTAGCAACTTTTGATTTAAATTGTCTCCACAATTTGTAACAGGCTATCTGCAGAAATGGGTAGCACGGTTAATGACCATTGACCATGGTCCTTTCTCGAACTTCCAATCCTCAGTTAGATACAAAGAATAGTCTACACAATTTTAAATAACATTAAAAGAGATGAAAATCACTTTATTCATCAAAATCTTTATTTATCATGTAACAACTTTTCCATAGTACTGGAGAGTAAAACTCTGTTAAACAAAAAAATTCTCGAGCACATTTTGAGTCAGTAACAGTAACATGTATATGTTACAGACTCAAATGCGTTTAAAAACATTTTAGTAACAGTAAATTGTGTAAACTGATGAGGAGGAGCAGGAGGACTGAAGAAGAGGAGGACTGAGGAGGAGGAGGAGGAGAAGGAGAAAGACTGAGGAGGAGGAGGACTGACGAGGAGGAGAAGGACCGAGAAGGACAGAGGAGGAGGAGGAGGACTGAAGAGGAGGACTGAAGAGGAGAGGGAGGACTGAGGAAGAGGAGCAGGATCGGTGAGGAGGAAGAAGAGGACTGAGGACGGGGAGGAGGAAGACTAAGATAACGCGAGGGCTAATAGGACGACGAGGACTGAGGACGAGGACGAGAGCGAGGACGAGGACTGAGGAGGAGGACTGATAAGAAGGAGAAGGAGAAGGAGGAGGAGGACTGAAGATGAGGAGAAGGAGGACTGAGGGAGGACTGAGGAGGAGGAAGAGGACTGAGGAGGAGGACTGAGGACTGAGGAGAAGAAGGACTGAGGAGGACAGAGGAGGACCAGGACGAGGACTAGGAGGATGAGGACGAGGACTAAGGACGAGGACTGGGAGGATGAGGACGAAGACTAAGGACGATAAGGATGAGGACGATGACTAAGAACGAGGAGGAGGACGAATGAGGAGGAGGACTGATTAGGAGGAGAAGGAGGAGGAGGGTGAGGAGGAGAACTGAGGAGGAGGAGAAGGAGGAAGACTGAGGAGAAAGAGGAGGACTGGGGAGGAGAGGGAGGACTGAGGAAGAGGAGCAGCTGATTGAGAAGGACCAAGGAGGACTGAGGAGGAGGAGGACTGAGGAGGAGGAAGACTGAAGAGGAGAGGGAGGACTGAGGAAGAGGAGCAGCTGATTGGTGAGGAGGAGGAGGACTAAGGACGAGGAGGACTGAGGAGGAGGACGAGAGCGAGGACGAGGAGGAAGACTGAGGAGGAGGACTGATAAGAAGGAGAAGGACGAGGACGAGGACTGAGGAGGAGGACTGATGATGAAAAGGAGAAGGAGGACTGGGGGAGGACTGAGGAAGAGGAGGACTTGGGGAGGACTGAGGAGGAGGAGGACTGAGGGAGGACTGAGGAGGACTGAGGATGAGAAGGAGGAGAAGGAGGAGAAGGAGGAGAAGGAGGACTGGCGGAGGACTGATGAGGAGGTGGACTGGGGGAGGACTGAGGAGGAGGAGGACTTAGGAGTAGGAGGAGAAGGAGGAAAAGGAGGAAAAGGAGGAGAAGGAGGAGGAGGACTGAGGAGGATGAGGAGGATGAGGATGAGGAGGAGGACTGAGGAGTAGGACTGAGGAGGAGGAAGAGGACTAAGGAGGAGGATCAGGAGGATCAGGAGGAGGCTGAGGAGGAAGAGGACTGACGAGGAGGAGAAGGAGGAGCAGGACTGAGGAGGAAGACTGAGGAGGATGAGGACGAGGACTAAGGACGAGGACTAGGAGGATGATAACGAGGGCTAAAGAAGAGGACTGATTAGGAGGAGAAGGAAGAGGAGAAGGAGGAGGAGAAGGAGGAGGACTGAGAAGGAGGAGGATAAGGAGGAGAATGAGGAGGAGTAGGAGGAGGAGGATAAGGAGAAGATTGAGGAGGAGGATGACTCAGGAGGAGGACTCAGAAGGTGGAGGAGGACTCAGGAGGACTCAGGAGGACTCAGGAGGAGGAGGAGGACTGATGAGGAAGAGGAGGAGGAGGACTCAGGAGAAGGAAGAGGACGAGGACGAAGACGAGGACTAAGGACGAGGACGACTAGTGTAGGACTGAGGATGAGGACTGATGAGGAGAAGGAGGAGGAGGACTGAGGAGGACGATGAGGAGGAGGAGACTGAGGAGGAGGAGGAGGAGGATGATGAGGAGGAGGACTGAGGAGGACTGAGGAGGACGACTGAGGAGGACGAGGACGAGGACTAAGGACGAGGAGGAGGAGGAGGACTGATTAGGAGAAGAAGAAAGCGGAGAAGGAGGAGGAGGATGAGGCTAGGAGGAGGAGGATGAGGAGAATGAGGAGGACTGGGGGAGGACTGGGGGAGGACTGAGGAGGAGGATAAGGAGGAGGAGGACTAAGGATGAGGATGAGGACAAGGACGATTATGAGGAGGACAGAGGATGAGGACTGATGAGGAGGAGGATGAGGAGGAGGAGGACTGGGGAGGACCGAGGAGGAAGAGGAGGATGACTGAGGAGGAGGATGAGGAGAAGGACTCAGAAGGAGGACTCAGGAGGTGAAGGAGGATGAGGAGGAGGACTCGGGAGGAGGACTCAGGAGGACTGATGGGGAGGAGAAGGAGGAGGAGGATGAGTCTAGGAGAAACGAGGAGGTCAGGAGGAGGAGGAGAAGGAGGAGGACTGGGAGTAGGACTGAGGAGGGGACTGAGGACTGAGGAGCAGGGTGAGGAGGACTGAGGAGAAGGACGAGGACGAGGACGTGTAGTCAGGAAGAGGACTGAAGAGAACTGAGGAGGAGAAGGACTCAGGAGGAGGAGGAAGACTTAGGAGGAGGAGGACTGATGAGAAGGAGGAGGAAGACTAGGGAGGAGGAGGAGGACATGTAAATGTTTTGTCTGTTTTTGTCTGTTTTTGTCCGTTTTTGTTCGCCCTACTTTTTGTCCGTTTTGAAAATATAGGGTACCGAACGGACACAAAACATGATACCCCAGCCAAGCATGTGTTACGATACAATTAATGTACTTGACTATACATTTAAGGTGCAGTGTACTAGTGATATTATGGTATGTTTAAAGACCCCCAAGACCGGACCACAAAATATAACCCGGTACCTAGTGTTGTACTATACTAATACATAATGACAAGTAACAGGGATAAAATTAATGAGCAGAAACAATCGATCTCACGTCAAAAGGCCAAAGCACTCGGGTCTGGGAGTACATGACAACTCCAACTAGTAGTGAGCATACTAGCGCCTCTGCAGTGGAAAAACACATAAAACATACTATTGGAATGTCCAATTGGTTCGTTTTCTCATAAAAATATAGCATATGGAGGGGTTCTGGTTGAATTATATCACTTCTGAGAGGTTTTAGAGATCGATTCTGTAAATTTCTCAATTTTCCGATTTTTCCGATTCCGATTTTGGCCTCATCAACCCTCATATCGGACATCGGGTTGGACCCCCCCCCCCCCCCCCTGACTCCAACGATATGAAATTGTTAGGATGCACGATTGAAAATGGCGCTTGAGTATTTGAAGAAAGGCGTGGTAGACCACGTACTTTCTATATCATACTGAGTCAAAAATAGCAGTGTGAAACATACATATTTGCACGCTTACAGGCAGTAGTGGGCGGCTGGTCCCTTGTTTACTTTAATGACACTTATGAAGTAGGTATGAACCTTACACGATTACTTCCTGCATCACTATGCTCCTTTCGTTAGCAAGCCTTGTAGAGCTGAGAAGCTTTGTCTTGGTGACGTTCTTTGTGTTCTTTGAGTTGCTGTTGATTTTGTGTTGCTTGCTGTTGATTTTTGATCAAATAGTATTACTATTACCCTAATGTCACTGTTATCATTTCAATTCTTTATTGAAACGTGATTGATATAAATGATTTGATCAGATTAAAAAAGTTTGTTACATTGATTATTGTACCATGTATTATATTATATTGATGTTGAAGTTATTTTATATACTTCCCATGTCCTAAATTACTGTAATCTTTTTTCTGTTTTTTTTAAAAGACTCCTCGATTTTTTCAGGAACAAAAAGCAAGTGGTTATACAAAATTCCTGATTTTGTATTCTAAATGCTGACTTTTTAAAACCCAGAATATAAGCATGGAGGAGGAAAAGTATAGTTATGATAAAATTAAAGACATTGCTGATTATATCCAGTCAAGGACAAGCCAGAGACCTAAACTAGGTAAAGTTTGCCTTAACCAATAACCATGAATATTGAATATGAGTATATGGAGTATATGGGAAGTTGGTCGTTTAGCTCCGGTCAGTCCCTGCGCATTCCCTGCACGGTCCCTGCACAGTAACATATGAACACCGCGCCGGCTACTAACCATGAATATTGAATATGATTATATTTGGTTCTGTAATCTTACTTCCTTACATCCGAGTTCCGGTAGACTGTAGCCACTAATCTGTGCTACAATTCTACACACCATTTTATAGTTCTACGTAGTGTTTCCACCACTTTTAGACACTTTTGTGACCACCTTAACTCCAGTCACTCCTCAGGTATAATCTGCGGGTCAGGTTTGGGAGGACTAGCAGATCTCCTGACTGACACTCAAGAGATGGACTACACTTCAATCCCGGGCTTCCCTGTCACTACAGGTAGGCGTTATCGTTGATTGACGTTGTTAATCATTCCCAGCTCGTAGCGGCTCAGTAGTGCTACGATCTCGCGAAAAAGCGATCTAGCGATAAGCATTATTTGATGCACGGCCCAGTAGTGCATCAAGCGTTATTGTTACTTTACACTTACAGTTGTTACAAGCACTTGGAGCTATTTTTTAGCTAAATTTTGGTATAAGTTATATTGGTAGTAAGTTATATTGGTAGCAAGTTATATTGATTCAAATATGAATGATTTATTTCGAAATCTTTTGTAAACTTCCCTGAGAAAATGTTTGCCGCATCAATGATCAGGCAGTGAAACAAGAAATTTTTTTGAAACAAGAAATTTAATTTTAGCACATTTTACAGATTACAGAATCAACAAATTTACAACAATGAAAATATAATGCTTGCATAATATGTTGTATGACTTTCTAATGACTGCTAATTGGGGTGCAAAAGGACAGGTAACTAAATTTTCAGTAAATTAACAGTAAATTCAGTCACTTCAAGCTGATTCCGTTTCAGTGAAAGGACACGGCGGAAAGCTGGTATTCGGAAAGTTAGAGACTGTAGAATGTGTTTGTATGAAGGGAAGATTCCATTTTTATGAGGGCTACCCCATTTGGAAGGTACGATTAATAAATTTCCGCGATTATAGCTGCACTTCGAGGGTTTCTGGTGTTAATATATATTTGATACCAAAGAATACTGGTTGCTGACATTCGTTGCACTCAGTATTATACATGGTATACACTGTATTTTCACCATGCATAATGTGCGTACAATACAGGGCCGGTGGGCTAGAATTACCGTAAAATAGAGAAATGATCCAGATCCCTACCCAAGCTGATTTTGGCCCACAAAATATTAAAGCATGACAAGCAATATGTAATCATTTATATTATAAATATTATCATATTAATATTATTAAATGCATGTTAGCTTGCTGAAACAAAGTTGCCCTGCAGTGTGCAGCTCCAGTCCAAGTAATGAAACTGCTGGGTGTGAAGGGTCTGATAGTTACTAACGCTGCTGGGGGCATCAACTCTGCTAAACTGAATCTTGGAGATCTGATGCTGATCACGGACCATATTAATCTGGTGGGAGTTACTGGAAATAACCCGCTGAGGGGTGCTAATGATGAAAGGTACACACTGTGTTTGGTAGATACTTACAAGCTGTATTTGAAAGGATCACGTGATGTAAAACTTAAAAGTACACATTTTTCGAAAATTCTATCATTCTAGTGGGAAAGAGAAAACGTACGCTAGATGTGGGTTTTACTGTAATTTTTTTAAATTTTATTTGAAAATTCAATTAATTATTATATATACAAATCAAGCGTTACATTTCAGCCATGCAAAATTACAATGACATATTTTAATATTCTAATTGAAAAATGGTGCTGCAATATAAGTTGCTTAATGTTTGGCCGGATGACAACTAACTAAAAGAGAAAAATAAACTTGATTACATAATAATTAATTCGGCTGAACCAACACATAGCAAAAGCCACATTAACGTTGGGGCCGTTTACCAAATTTGAATGACATACAATAACAAGAAATCAAACATATCATAAATAATTATATATGGATTTTGTTCATTACAATTCATTACAAATATCTTATATGAAACTCAACATCTTACAATTTTGTTCCTCAAGGCATATTTATGATTTTACCCTCTTTGTCTAGACTCTCTCAATCAACAAATTTGGGTTTAGTCAAATTTGAAGTATTCGCCTTGGCGTCCCTGCATTCACGAACACAATACTTGTTTTTCATGATCAAATTATTCATCTGGGCACTAGTTTCTTGAAGTGTGAGGATTCTCTATGCAGTACACGGCTATTCCGGCTTTGTTAATTATTCATTAATTAGTCGTTGCATACGCTACAGTGGTGAAAAGTCACTGAACCCCTTATCCTTTCTTCATTTTGGATCATTCATTCAATAAAAAGCTCACCAGATATGCTAGATCATGATAAGGACGAGGAGATAACGGTGGTGAACTGAAAACGGTTACAATGATATTTTAATTTGACCTACAACCAAACCACATACAGATTACAGATCGAGACACCTAAATGTGCGCAAAGTTTTTCAAGTTCTGCACGCCTAAAGCTCACGTGTCAAGTCAAGTCTTGTCAAGTCAAGTCAAAACCCGGCGCCCCGATTTACCGCAGCCAATTCCTTCCCCCAAAACGGGCTTAACATGCATAATGTAAACAAACGAAACCCTGATTTACCGCAGACCCATATTTACCGCGGATGTATCCCAAACTGCGGTAAATTGGGGTTTTACTGTACGTATTTCTCTTACTAACGTCCAACAACGTCAGGTTCGGACCAAGGTTCCCAGCTACTAATGCAGTTTACAGCAAGGATCTCCAAGAGGTCTTTAGAAAAGCAGCTGACGATCAAGGTACTTGATAAACAAGCATGTACATTGTCCGTAGTTAATGTTTGAGTTTGTAGTACTGGTAAGATACGTGTATAATGTAATATGTTATATATAATATGTAATAATATACAGGGGGGGGGGGGCCAAAAGTCAGTACCCATACGTTGGCCTTAATAGCTCAATCACTGAGTGCCCAATTGAAATAATTCTTTCTGTTAAGACTTACTACCACCACTTTTATCCTAAAAAGAAAATAACAACAGATAGTTCCTTGAAAGGATCACAAATTACCCTATAATATGATAATATGTGCTATTATGACATGTTTTATTACATACTTCAAATTATCCACCATTTGATTCTGTGATCGTTTCAGGTCTATTGTCAGTGGTTAAGGAAGGAACCTACCTCATGGCATCCGGGCCTACGTACGAGTCTCCAGCCGAATTGAAGTGGTTCAAAATGGTGAGATTTTGAAATTATTGAAGATTGCTATTTACTGTTCAGGAAACGAACCACATTTGTTTTAACAAATTATCTGATTTAAACAGCTGTTGCCGACCTATTGATGTTCTCGACTCAATCTTTTGATCGGACGTTGTAACTCGGCTGTTTGAATTCTTGACTGATCGAGATTCATACAAAGACTCAGGACGCCATATAATTCTATTATATACATATTATATGGCAGCTGAACATGTCTTGTCCCTACATCATTACAATTACATAGAACCTAGATGTTCAATACTTTCTGGGATTTGATCTCAGATTGCATTGAGGTGAGCTTTAATTGATAATTCTAAATGACTAACTTATTTAGGCACCTGATACCAAAATTACAGACACAACCTTACTATACTAATATCACAGCTTTCGTATTGGCATGGTTACATCGCAAGGTTGCTATAGTTGTTCAATGTAGATGTAGCTTAAGAATCCTGAAGAATCATATATTTTGATTCATTATTGCATCAGAGAAACTCGATTTACATGAAGCAAAAGCGATTGCAAAAACATGAAATGAACCAAATATGAAATTAAATGAAATGAATGTGCTTGTATACCTCCCATATGGTTAGCAACTGACACAAGTGTCAGGTACTAACCATGTCAGAGCGGTTCTAAAGGGTGAGGTGAAAATATCCAGCAACAAACAACTAAAGCATCTCAAAAACAAATCTATTCAGAAAAATTAAAACTTATATAAAAAATAATATCAAATAGTAATCATAGGAAGATTTATTGATGTATACCACACTACGATTAACAATAAACCACCAGGCACCATCAAAATTTAAAACAAATAGTATCTGAGTAAGTGATGATGGAAGGTGATCACTGAGCCATATTCCAACTTTTGTAGCGAAATTATGGATCATCAATCTACCATAACCCACGTATATCATAATATAATACCAGCAAGTGATAGAATACAAATAATATTTATCATTCAAACAACACTGCGCCGTAAGTACTAGTAGTAAATTATAGATAGAATTATCCTTATTAAATATTTATCATCTTTTATGTTCTCGTCAGCATTCAGCATATAGTTCTAAACAAACATAAGTATAACACGTTTTGGTCAATAAAACATAGATAGAGAACTGAAGGCATTCAAAGTGTAATCAATAAAAATGTGTTCCGATTGCCCACAGTTGCGTCGGAAGCTGGAGTCTGGACTTTTGGTGAAGGTTTTGATTTTTTGTTAATTTTTAAGTCATGGTAAGAGGATTCCGGTTTTGCACTAATTCCATCGAATTCATCTTTCTTTGAGCTGTTTCGGAGGTAGTGCCAGCAGATGACGACTGGTCAGAGCTCCCTGCTAAACTTTTCCATCCCACCATCTTGAGAACCTGATCCCTCATGTGTTTCATCCTAGCTAGGTAGATAACAGGGTTAGCAGTGCTGTTAGCTGCTACACTTAGCTGCTGTAATATCGGGGTTATGTAGTACTTCAAGAAGGGAGTTCCCCCGGTCAGCTTCCGCCCATAGTTGTACCAGAATATAAAGAAATCGACAACCAGCGATCCTTCTTTGAAACCAGATCTCGTTCCTTTGTACAAGTCGACCATGTACATCCACACAAAGATCATGAGTGGTATGTTGCACAAAATGTACACCGCTGTAATGAGGACCACGGTTTTTGCTGCCTCCCGCTGCTGCTTTCCCTTCTTTCCCAGTGCATCTGCATTGCGGCCACTTTCCCGGAGAAGCCTGATGGACAGGACACAGGAGACCACTATTACAAGGAACATGAGCGTTGGAATGAGGTTGTAAAGGAATGTAATGACAACTGATATTGAAAGATGCTTTTTGGATGCCGGAGAATAGATCTCTTCCGGAGAGAAAGGAAACATGATGCAGGACAGGATGTCTTGGCTGTAGATGGGATGTTGAACGCCTGATGCAATAATCACGATCAAAGGCGTGGTAAAGACTACACAGAAACCTATTGGTAGGACAAATGGTAGCCAAGTCATATGCAGTTGCTTTGCTGGATATTTCAGGACGAATAGTCGAGATAGACTTAGGAATCCCACCAAGAAGACAGAAAGCTGGGAGATTGTCCACCATATAATGATCCAGGTGCCACAGAAGGTTTTGTCAAAGAAGAGCAGGGCAGGACTCTCCAGGACACTGTAGATGCTTCTTCCTCGGTTTGGGGAGAATGCAGCCTGAATGGCTGGGAAGAGGAAGATGCAGATCAGGGTATCATTGAATGTGATCACCATGTAGAGACGCTTGAAGTAAATCTTGTTTGAGTTTTTTGCTTTTTGCTGAGCAAAGAAGACAAAACTGCCGATATTGAGGGTAACCCCTATGATGGATATGACAGTGAGAATTACTCCAAGAACTGTGTCTGCGACTCTGTCGTGTTGGTCTATTAGCGAGGAGGGTGCATTTGGGTCAGCCATTTCTCTGTAGATAGTGTTTAGATAATTTATTGTTAGATTAAAGGTACCTGGTATATAGATTTGGATGATAGTTTCTAAAACAATAGCCAAGACTAAATAGCATCTAAAACCTTTCTGAACCTTTTTTAAATGAAAAAATTTTGAAGCTTTCTACTACTGAAGCCACACCCTCAGTTATCTCTCAGCTGGTAAAAAACTGCTCCTTTTTTGGTTCTGTCAAATATATTTTAAAATTCATACCAAGACGTTATAATTTTGGGGGGGGGGGGGGGGGGGGTCAACCTCATTTTACCTCATTTACCTCATCCCAATTTTGCCTTTTTTGGCTGGCCTCATGAGGTAAAATGAGGTAAATCTCGGCACACATTTTTAACAGGCAAAATTATCTAAATCGTCAATTTAGTCACGAAGGAGTATGGAAGGAGATCTAAATGTGTGCTCCTCTAATATAAACAGTAGGAAATGATTAACTTTATTCGAGGTCTCAAGTCTCTACAATGTCGGGAAGTTCCTGCAGGAATTTGCGCATTGCGCTTGAAGCGCAAGATTCACAGCGCCAAAAGCGAAGGTCGTAGAGACATGAGACCTTGACTAAAGTTAACCATTTCATACCATTGCTATGAGAGTATGCCACTTTCAGAGTCCTGAACACACTCCCATATCTCTTAATCGTCAATTATATGAATTTTACCTGTTAAAATATATCATCTTTAACTGATATCAATTTAGTTTAACACTGTTAGTTTAAAAAAAGAAAATAATACTTCACACCAAACTAACACACAATATGAGAATATAAAAAGGAAGGTTTTCTTGGACACCTGGACCGAGCATCAAAATAGTGTACATTGCTGCTGTCATTGTCAAGACTCAAGAATAAGACAGTCTAGTTGTGGGATTATGCTGGATAACAGATATGATAAGTGGTAACATCCTACAAAAGAATGTTAGCTTAGTACTAAGGAATTTTCCTCTTACTGAATCATACAAGAAGTTAACTAAGTTCCTCCTAGTCCTAAGCATTATCTTGTTTCAGAGGGAATGAGTGATTTAAAAAGATGAGGCCAAAGAGTTAGTTGTAAAGAAGGCATTTGTACTCTGTAATTTCTAAGCTAATTTTTTTCGATATTTATAGCTATTTACTGATCTTGTCTTGACGTATCAGCAAAAGATCACTGGACCTCGTTAGTTGTTAGTCATGTTATGCTGATCCAGTTAGTGACGAGCTATGAAGTAATCATTCGACCTCATTTAATACTGATCCTATCAATGACGAGCTATGAAGTAATCAGTGGATCTCGTCAATGCTCATCCTGTCCGGACTGTCAGTGACGAGTTATGAAGAAATAAATTGCAAGTTGGTCGTTTAGCTCCGGACAGTCTATGCACGGTCCCTGCACGGTCCATACAACAACAAGAGAACACTCCATGCACAGTCCCTGCACGGTCAGTCCCTGCACACTCCCTGCACGGTCTATACACACTCCGTGCACACTCCCTGCTGCTACTAACCGGTCACTTGCCGGCTATTAGCTTGGCTCTAAAGCAGACCTACTTAGTAGGTCTGCTTAGTAGCCAGTAGGTTAGTAGCCGGTAGGTCTTCTTTAGAGCTCAGCTAATCGCCGGCTAGTGACCGCCTAGTAGCCGGTTAGTAGACACTTTGTGGTCACTAGCCGGCTAGTAGCCGGTTAGTAGCCGGCTAGTGACCACTTTTTAAGTGCCGGTTAGTAGCCGGTTTGGTAATGTGAAGTTGAGGAGCTGTTATTACAAAAGTGGCTACTAGCCGGCTAGTAGCCGGTGTTCATATGTTACTGTGCAGGGCCGTGCAGGGACCGTGCATAGACCGTGCAGGGAGTGTGCAGGGACTGACCGTGCAGGGACCGTGCATCAAGTGTTCATTGTGCAGGAACCGTGCAGGGACCGTGCATGGAGTGTTCTCTTGTTGTTGCATGGACCGTGCAGGGACCGTGCATAGACTGTCCGGAGCTAAACGACCAACTTCCCAAATAAATGAAGACCTCATTAATTCCCTTGTTCCAAGAAGATATTCCTCTGGTAACAACCCCTTCTGGCCTGCTTCTGAACATAATATGAAGATGCGAAAACCTAGTCTACCTAAATTGGAACTTGCTGACTGCATTGGAAAATGGATAACAATCGAGAAATGATAATCAGTGCCAGGATATAATCAAAGTTGAATTTGGAATCCAAGGAAAACCTTCCTTTTTTATATTACCATATTGTGCGTTAGTTTGGTGTGAAGTATTATGTTCTTTTTTTAAACTAACAGTGTTAAACTAAATTGATATCAGTTAAAGATGATATATTTTAACAGGTAAAATTCATATAATGGGGGGGGGAGATAACGTATTTTTTGTTTTTTTTGTTTAGGTGGAATTAATTTTTTGGAAAAAGCAAAAAAAACAAAAAACAAAATAACAAAAACAAAAACAATGTTTTTTTGTTTTTTTTGTTTTTTGTTTTTTTTTGTTTTTTTTTGTTTTTTCCAAAAAAAAAACAAAAACAAAAAAAACAAAAACAAAAACA